GGGGGAATTATTCCCGCCCACTGGCGGAGTAGGAGAACTGGGGGAAGTGGGGCCGTCGCTCATTGTCCATGCAGTCCATCCCATCTTCGTCAACTGCGGTTGGGGGGAGAGATCATACAGATTACTGGGCGGGGGGGCCTAAACCAAGGGGCTGCGAACCACACAAGCCCGACACTCAGCAGAGCCCCCGGTTACGGGCCCTGACAATGACATCACACAAGATTGGCATGGAAACGCATCTACAGCAGCATGCTGACGGCGCAGGTAGGTTCACACGCAGATTTTCCCACAAAGGCACTCACAGGGACTGTTGCTCTATCACTAGGTGATACATATTCACATTGAGGTCGTAGTGCGGGTGCAGGTATGAACGGTGAAGGATGGAGACTTACATTTTTCCGGTGGAGTTATTGTAATCGTCTGTGCCGTGAACTCTTCGTCGAAATACCTGGTATCCGTCTCCGATGACACCTGAGGCTTAAAGGGAGGGAGCAGCTGCGAGAGACGGAAACGACGACGTCAAGGACGACGTCAAGAAGTCCCCGATTCACACGGGTGACAGCCGCGATCTGCCAGCGTGGCATCAGAGCCATTTCGGGGACTCGCCCCCTGGCCAGGAGAGGCCCACCCACTCTACCTTTTTATCGTAGACATCCTGCCAGTCGATTCCAGAAAAGAAACTATGCCGCATTATTTCCTTTGCGTCGTCCGGTCCTCCTCCGAGTCTGCGGAAAAGAGAATCGACAACGGGCTATAATAAAAGCAGAGCAGCTGAATAATAATTACTCTGAGTGGGAATTAGATTACTGGCACACAGATTATCCACAGTGACGGAATTAGCTTCATAGATGTTAACTGGCTTGGGAGCTCTGGGTAGCCATGTCAAGTGACGAGGCTGAAAACAGGATGGGATGGATTATGCTGCCCATCAATCACGGGCAGGCTTAACTCACTACCCACCCGTTAGTTCATCAACATTTCCACTGGGTTAAACCAGGCAGTGACTGACAGAGCCTGTAATCCCTGTCTGGCATGGGTGTGTGCCCATTGGCCACCCGCGAAGCAGCCATCTTCATCATCAAAGCGACCACATCCAGCACCTTTTGTTAGGGTCCTTGATGAGCAGGCCGGACAGCAGCGACTTGGCGTCGGCCGAAAGCGTGCGTGGGAACTTGATGTCCTCCATGAGGATGAGCTCGAAGAGCTTCTCGTGGTCTTGGTTGTAGAAGGGCAGCCGGCCGCACATCATCTCGTACATGACCACGCCCAGCCCCCACCAGTCCACCGCCCGGCCGTAGTCGTTGTCCTCCAGCACCTGGGAGACAACCACCGGTCAACCGATCACATTCTGACGGCCAAGATGCCACAAAGTCGTTTGCCGGCGTGAGAAAAACCTAGATCATTCCTTCATCTCACACAAAGTATCGAGGAATTCAGCGACGGAGCCAAATGATTAGGAAGTCATGGCTGTAACGATCAGGGAGCGGGTCGTGCACCCACATCCATGCAATGCAGGACTGAGCTGTAGCCTTCAAGCTTGTGGTTGGTGCCTACGGCACCAAACAAAGATGGCAGCATTTCAAAGCTGACAACGAGGGGGCGCCATGGAGACCATGTTCATGCTCGCTTCACATGCGAGGCCCTCCCGCTCACAGACCCCACCCTGGACCCCACCCCTGGACCAGTGGATGTATCAGGGAGGTATCAGGACAGTGCCTGGGGCTCCCGCTCCTGTCCCTCTCGTGGGGGGTGGCTGTCATGGGACAAAGAAGCGTGGGGGGATGGACCACCCGTTTGGATGCGGAGGGGCGCCTTCCGAAGGGGAACCCTAATTAATGCATCGGCTTAATGACAGCCACAGCTGAACCAGCGCCAGGTAGCCATATGTTCCAAATTTGACGAGTAACGATGACTCGCCTCATATATACCCAGGGACGAGACTGGAAGCCAGTGATTCCCTGCTTCCTGTCAGCCGCAGGCCATGGAAGACTTTGGAGTCCACAGGTCACACTATTCTGGGTAGCTGTCCCAGTCACCACTGGGGAGGGCAGAGATGCAGGGTGCTGTACAACCTGCTGGACACTGGGCAGGGCAGAAACACAGGGCCCTACACAATGCCTGAAATTTATTGACAATTGATTACTAATGCTAAACACTGCGAGGGCAACATGACACTTTCGGTATTGAAAATAGATCTGAGGCTGCAGCAATAGGCGGTGTGAGTCATGACTGTACCAGATGGGAGATTCTCCCTGCTCATAAAATTCCACATGTTTCAAAGCCGGGTTCCTGGTTCGAGTGGCTCCCTTGTAGCTACGTAGCTGCGGCGTTCGGCCCTGAGGGCGCCCCACACGAACGGACGCGAGTGCTGGGGGCCCGCGAGTGGCCGGCTTGCTGTCGGACTCGCAGGAGCAGCTCGGGTGCAGGCAGGGGACGCGATTAACGCACACGGAGCCAGCCCCCCCCCCCCAACCCATCTCAGAGCCACAGGCGGAGCGGGGAGCCCAGAGGGGAGGAACAGGCCCCGCTCGGGCGGCCATGTGGCAGGGCTGCTGCTCCCAGGACTGGGGCCCTTGGCAGGGCCGGCTGGGGCTGGAGGAGGAGAGAGAGGGCCTGTGGCTCCACCAGCCCCGCGCCCCAGCAGGCCTGAGAAAACAGCCAGCTCTCTCTCTCTCTTTCACACACGCGCACACACATACCCGCACGCACACACACCCGCACACACACACACATAAACGCACACGCACGCACACACTCAGGCCTTCTGACTCCCGCGTAACCCTCTGCAGTTTACAGGGAGGGTTAATCTTTAATGACAAGAAGCCAAAGCTGCTACACGCCAGCGAAAGATAGGAGAGGAAAACGGCGCTCAGCACACGGACGTCGCACGGCCGAAGCCGTCAGCGTCAAAGCGCTCCTACAGACCGTCCGGAAGTTCAGGAAACAATCCGGAGAATGAGATTCCTCACCTCTAGACAGCAAGGCAGAATTACTATCATGATACCAGTAATGTGTTTTTAATATATAAATTTTACCATTAATTATGATTTTACTTGTGAATATTCATCGTGCTTGAATATTCATGCTCTGTTGCCGATCGCCGAGATTCCCACTGAAATGGCGTATGGACGTAGACACCTTCCCGCGAATCCGCGAGCGGCTGCAGGAGAAAACGGAAAAAAAGGGAGAAAAAAAAGAGAAAATCTGAACGGCAGCCATTGTTTAAAATAACCACAGCACCCAAAGTCAGCGCAAACACCGCAACACCCAAAACCTGTCCAAAATGGACCGGAACTGCAGCGCGGAACAATGGCGGAGTACAGGGAAATATGTTTAACGAACTTCCTGATCACGCAGAGCGCTGCGCTGGACCCGTGTGGCTCACAAGGAAAAGAGAAAAAAAAAAAAAAAGGAACCCCCCCCCCCAAAAAAAAAAACTACATTTGTCACATTACAGACTGGAAGCGACCCGATACTCACTGCCGTGACACAGAGACCCCCCCCGCCCCGGCAGCTCCCCGCCCAAGCCCAAACCCCCTTCTCCTTCATGCTTTCCCCCTCTCCCCCCCCCCCCCGTTTTTAATCCCGGCCACTTTGCATGTCTGCATCTTGGCTCGCCGCGTGCTCTGTTATTTTTACACCAGGACGGCGGTGTACATTTCCAGGTTTTCCAGCCACCTTCCTCCAACCTTCCCCATCTGCCACCATCTGCCTCTGTTTAGCATGTACTTTTTAGTGCAATCACATACTCTTGTGAAAAATAACCAACAGTCAAACCATCTCCTGGCACAGCGGAGGGCCGGAGCCAAAACAAAACCCAGCGCCAAATTGTCTTCCGTACTTTTTCAAGTGGAATCCATCCCCCCCCCCCCCACACAAACACAGAGATACCCCCCCGCACTTGATAAATATACAAGCCATCCACAGCAGCAGCCTGTGTCCAGGGCTCTGCCCCCCCCCCCCACTGAAAAAGAGCGGTGGAACTACCACAGTCTCCCTGCATCCCGGTCCCGGCGCGTCCGTGGAAAAGGAGCGGAATGGCGTGTGCGGAGAACAGAACAGATTCGCGTGCAGTTTGTGTTTACCGCCACACTCCGCCGTGATAGCCCGCGCCGCGCTCTGCACATGCCGTACGGTAACGCCGCCGCCGTGTGAGTCATGCCGGAGGGTTGCCCATCGGGCTCTGCGCTCCTCCGTGAGTCACCGCCAGACCCATTGATAATAGCGCAGTAGATCCGTTACGTGGTGTCAGCATCCATGGGGTCATGATCCGCACCTCAAGGCCCAGTCCCCCAATGATGACCCCCTCCCCACATACACACACACACACACACACACACACACACACACACACACACACACACACAAACTTCCACATCTGGTGTTTCCACTCCAAGCCTAATTCCTCTATCATCCTTCTGATCCCCTTAACTTCCCAGCTCTACTCACCAGAAAGCTTCAAGTGAAAATTCCTAAAGCTACAAAGACCATCCCATCCAGTGACACCAGCGGACGCCAAAGATTCACCATCCTTTGCTACAGACTTTCCACCCCAGCCCTGAAGGGGGCAGCAGAGGCAGGGCCCCCTACCTCTGGGGCCAGGTACTCGGGGGTGCCGCAGAACGTCTTCATGGTAGCAGCGTCAGTGATTCCTTCTTTGCAGAGGCCGAAGTCAGTGATCTTGATGTGACCGTCCTTGTCGAGCATGAGGTTCTCCAGCTGAGGGTGGGAACAGGGGCAGCAGACGGTGAGGGCAGTTAACAGCCCCAGGCATCACAAAGCCGGTGTGTTTTTTAACGTACAGGATGGGCTCCACACTGTCCGCAAGCCTATCAAAGTACGGCCAGTACCGCATTTCAGAATTTAAGTAAACAGCCTGTGTGTTTTTTTCCCCCTAAACAAGATGGAAAGAGGAAACTTCAGGCAATTTGTCCCCCCAAAAAAGGCCCTTTTAATTTTAATAGCACAGCCTTTTCTCCCCCCCCCCCCCCCCCCAGGTTTTTGGCACTGCTCACACTCACTTAGTCCAAGGCTGTAAGCAAAACACTGTGGCATCTTTTACAGCCGTGAGAGTTTGATGTTTTCCAAAAACCCACTTCCTCACCTCCCCAAACTCTGCAGCTTTTAATTACGTTTCTCACAACCGGAGTCCCATGCGCACACGCACACACACTCACGCGCGCACACTCATATACACACACACACACACACGATCACAGACCAAACAGGAGCAGCTTCCAGAATACCTGATCACCTTCTGCTTTCCTGATTTTATTTATTACCATTATTTTCTTTATTGTTATCCTGGTTACCTTGAGGTCCCGGTATACGATCTTGGCGGAGTGCAGGTAGTCCAGAGCGGAGACGATCTCGGCGCCGTAGAAGCGCGTGCGGTCCTCGGAGAACACCCGCTCTCTCGACAAATGGAAAAACAGCTGCAGGATAAACAGCGGGGACAGAGTCGCAATAATTACTGATTTATTGGGGGAAATTAACACAACACAAACGGCCTCCCGCCGCCATATTGAGATGATAGATGGCGGGGGCCCTCTGAGGACGCGGGCGGGGCCTCCTCGGCAGATGCCGCATCATTTCCTCTCCAGCGGGGCCCGCCGCCGCTGCCGCCGCCTCTTAATGCCCAGCTTTAATCAATACACCAGCCTCGTTAGGGGCGTCTGGCTGCCCGGCGCTCTGCGCGCTCAGGTTAGCGCCCTGCTAGTGCGCCCCCGCCCGTCCCCCATTAGCCCTTTATGTTTTTTAAAGAGACCCCCCCCACCCCCACCCCCTGTGTGGATCCCCCTGCCGCCTCACACGGAGCGGCCCGGAGCACGCCAAGCAGGCAGCTCCTGCTTAATTGATGCGTGGGGCGTTTCGCACACGGCCTCCCGGGGAGCGCTAACGGGCAGCCTGATCAGTCAGGGGGCGGGGGGCGGGGGGGGACAGGTGCGCCTTCATCACCACGCTGGCAGCTGTGAGCGTCCAGGTTTTTGAGGGAGGGTGGGTGGGTGTGTGTGTGGGGGGGGCATACACATACGGATCGCTGTGTGGGGGCGGGGGGCCGGATGCAGGGAGCAGGTGATGCTCAGACTGAGGGAATGAATGAGACATTGTCCGCCTCCTGATTACACGCCCCCCCCCCCCCCCCCCACCCCCGAAACGACAGGATCGCTACTTTAAAAATCGAAGGGTGCTGAAGGTGATGGGTACACACAAGTTCACGCTTGGGGCACACGCGACTCCCCCTGCACAGGAACCAGGTGAAGAGTGAGACTATCTGTCCGGCCGCAATGTGCTGCGTCTCTAACAAGGTACCACTACGGACGGCACGGCACCGGGCACCCAAGTATCACAGGACTCACGCCGCCACTGTAAATATCCAATGAGGGCTGTCGTTGGGCCTCTGTGAGGTCTGGTGGGGGGGGGGGCAGGCGGTCAGTGATTTTCAGTTATGGGGGGTATACCAGGACCTGAAACATCGGGCCACGCCCCCTCCCTCACAGTGGGGGTGGTCGGAGCGGTTGGCCGCCATAAATCTGCCGCTTGTCAGCACTTACAGTAACACCCCCTGAGAAGAGCGGCCCGGAGGGATACCGACGTCATCGGGGGGCGTGTCACCGTCCGGTGTGATGAATGGGCTGCTGTGCGCTGGTGCTTATGAGTGATTCTCTGATTATAAACCCACAGCGGCATGAACTGTAGGAACGGCGGGACAGCGCGAAGACAGGAACTCGCCGGGGAGCTCAGCCGCACTCAGCTGATCGCCATAAATCTACTCATTAAGCACCGGCACGTCTCCTTAACGCTCTTTCCGGGAGGGTGTTTTTTTTGTATGATTGCAGCCCATTCCCCCCCCCCTTTAATTTCAATTCAGGTCCAGAACCCTGTCAAAGGTACAACAGCAGTGACACCACCATGCCACATGTGGCCTGCCGTGTTCATGGCATTTAAGACAGAGACTGGAGGACCTTCCGGAAGGGGGCCCGTGGCTGGCAGAGGCCGCTTACCTCGCCGCCGTTGACGTACTCCATCACGAAGCACAGGCGGTCCTTAGTCTGGAAGGAATACTTCAAAGACTGAAACGACAAGGAGGGTGGGGGGGAGTCAGGGGGGGTCGGGAAGGGGGCGCCGGGCAGGATGGGAGGGGGGGCTGTTCCACTTTACATGAGAGCATCGGCGGTGGCTTTCAAAGCGTGTGGCGGGGGGGGCCGTGTCTTGAAGCGCACGCCTTAATTGTTTCGCTAAACCTGGTGTGTGCGCTTTGCATTTCACAGCAGCATCTGGAGTGTCACTAAAATGGCTTCTCTGTGGTGACTTCACAGCAGATGCACAGCTACATTTGAGCTGTTCATTTATAACAGTTTATTCGCTGAATTATAATTAGTCTCTGGGGGGACCATGTACATACAATCAAAATGTTTGCGTTAAGGCGTGTTGATCCCCCACCCCCTTTCCGTGTACGTTTCTGCGGCATGTCAGATGCTTCCCGAACAAATAAAAGAAAGACTCACAGTTAGGAAAGGGTGTCTGGTGTTTTTTAATACTCTGCTCTCTGTGAGAGTATGGGCCACTTCGTCCTGGGGGAGGAAAAAACAGGTGGTTTGGTTATCGGCCCGTCGTTATGCACTCGACCTCGGATGACTGCGGAGTTACCAAGCAGGGCAAGCGTGAAACTCCCAGACTGAAGATCTCTGAGAACTACACAATGCAAACAGACGGACTCTTCCAGAATTTGCCTTATGAAAACAAAGAACTTTATTTTGTTTCATATGATAGCTAATGCAGTTCATTCTTATTCTGGATGACTGTGCTGCATGGGGAAGGCTGAATGCAGCACACGGACACCCACCTTTGCAATAATGACTTCTTTCTTGAGGATCTTCATTGCATAATATTTGCCGCTGGCCTTCTCCCGCACCAGAATGACCTTCCCGAAGGTTCCCTTACCCAGCAACTTTAAGTAGTCAAAGTCATTCATGGTCTGGAAGACAAATATGGATACAACAATCATAAATGTACTGATGTAAATATAACTCATGAGAAATCCTCAAAATCATTATAGAAATGGCAGACTAAAGCAAAGAAAACCAAATCAAAGACAATGTTTGACCCACTATAAATTCACTTTTGGCCTGCAAACAGACTTGCATTCAATTCTTACAGGAACTGCGACAGTTAACCAAGCTCATGTGGAGGTTTGATAGGGCGTCAGCCATGGACGGTCGTCCCAAAATGCATGAACACAGCAGGCGTCCGTCGCACCCGCCCCATTTCCCGGGCCTCACCTTCCGTTTATGGTGGCTGGTGGAGGTGTCCATCTCCTCCTCACCGATGTTGTCGATCTGTGACGTGGGGCTGCACTGAATCCTCTCCTCCTCCTGTCTTTGGAGTTTGTCAGCCACCATCTGGATGGCATCTGTCCACTCGTCCCTGCGACACGGGACACGGGACGTGTGACCCGGTCCTGGCAGAACAGCCCGTCCCGAGGTCGGGGGCTCGTTCCCGCTCCTCACCCTGCGGCTCCCTCCGTTTGGGAGGCGGTACCTATGCTAATCATCATCGGACGAGCTCGGATTAACCTGCCCATCAGGAATGAGCCCTTTTAACCCGCTGCTTCGACCTACGTCTGCAGTTCCCATCTGCACGTCGTCTCGTATCAGTATTTTAATCACATTGCCTGTGCCGTTTTCAGAATGCAGGGCACCCTAATGAAAGGGAGCCACAGTCACACACCCATTCAGTGTAGACCTGATGGTTACACGCATACAGTGACTATTAGCTAGGACCCACAAGGTCATAGGGGTCATTCGCTCTCACAGTGCTGATTGCTTCAACTGTGCTACAGGGTCAGATCCCACTTTTTTGGTCTATCTCCAGTGACCTCGATAAACAGCAGCACATGGTAATGGCTGCCGATCACGGAGGCAGTTTGACGGGTGCTGTGTGGACCTAGGGGGTGCTTTACAGCATCACCCAATCGCAGAATCTCCGACCTGCATGTAAATGACATGACATGCGACATTCTCAGGCATCTTCAGCAGCATTTCCTGCAGGATCCCCATTTTATCCACCGATCTGCAAAACAAGCCACCCCCCCCCCCAACCCCACCTTGGCACGCCGCTGCCCATCCCCGGCCCGTCTCCCGAAGACCGAACAGCTGGATAATTTATGCCCCTGCCACTGGAAAGGCAGCTCTGCCAGACCACCACCAGCCGCAGAGGCTACTAATCACCTCGTTTGTTTTTTTCGTGTCGTCGCCGAGCATCAAACATTCTAACGGACGGGGGGACTCGGGTCCGGCCGCAGGCCCGCTGCCAGGACATTCTGTCGGGCTGCATGGGGGGGACGATCCACGCCCCAGACCGCTTCCATTTGGATGGCCTCTGATGTTATTTCGGGGATGTTTGGGTATTTATTTATGTTGAGTACAAAAGCAGCCGTGTGCCGGAGGATGGAGCGGCCCAGAACTTTCCGAAGGGCACGGGGACGTGCAGCGCCGAACCATCGCAGGAGTGTCACTGAGCTGCGGCCCGCAAGCTGCGTTATTCCTTTCAGCCCCGATGATGGTGATGCGGCCGCAGCCGGACAGCCGCGGTTACGCAGCCGGACAGCCGCGGTTACGCAGCCAAATGGGCTCTAATGTCAGGCATTATGGGGAGGGTGTGGCGAGCCTGGAGCAGTGGGGTCGTCACGGGGGTCACGGCCAAGGTCACGGGGGGGGGGGGGGGGGAGCCTACCTTTCCTCCGGCGTGTCCACGTGGAAGGTCCTCTCAATGACCGTGGTCCATTGTAGACATCTAATGATGAATGTGTTGGGCTTTGGTCGTTCAGTCTTCATCAGCTGGCACTCTGAGGGAGGGATGGAGGGAGGGAGCGAGGGATGGAGGGAGGGCAAGAGAGAAAACGAGAGCGGGAGAGAGAGAGGATTGTTCATACAGCGTGGTCCACATGTCTACTCAGGACACCTTCTGTTCTCCATATATTCTGGGCCCCATCACTGCCACACTCCCCCCAGCGCCTCGGCTGGACAGCGGCCCTCCGGAGCGCCACAGAAAGGTACCGTCCTCTCGCCATTAGCCGCTTCACCCTCGGCTTGCGACCACGGGATTCCAAACATCCTGCCCGTCCTAATCCAGTGCTTAGGGCTCTGACCTCAGGGACGATATCAGGTAAAAAAAAAAAGTGCCGGTTTGTGCCCTGGTGCAGTTTAAATAGCAGGCTTGCGTTAGATCGCGACGGATGAGACATACTTGGACTAGTTTGGGGGGGGGGGGGCAGTAAATACAGTAACAGGCAGGCAGACTCCACCTGCGACCCGCCTGCCTCCTCCACCCCCCAGTCCAGGAAAGCGGGACATTTCCCGGAGGCCTGCAAAGCATCTTCGTCTGCCGGCGGATCCAGGCCAGCGAGGAGCAGACGCATCAGCAGCGGGCGGCATGAGGACGTGTCTGCGGCAGACGCCGGCATCCCCCTTCAGGACATCGGAGGGACTGTGCGGTGCAGCGCTCCGTGACGGGGGCCCGCGGCCGAGCGGCGGACCGCCTAAAGATAGGCAGTCAGGTCAATGACAGCGGGGCGGCGGACGTGAGCACGGCCCCCTTCTCCGCGCTGACACCAAAACGGAGAAGTAAAAATGTGTGGTTGTCATGGCGGCGCCGGTTGCGAACGTGCGGGTGACGGCCGCAGCTCTGAGCTCACAAGAGCGACGCAGCGATTAACAGGCCGAACACAAAGGAAGCTCCCAGGAAAAGAGAAAAGGGGGTTTTAATACCATTATCTGCACGGAAACACAAGTGCTGCTCATCCAGGCATCTCCCACACAAAGTTCCAGAGTCCCATCAGGTTTCCAACAGGCTGGGTTTATCGGCACGGCCGCTAATCACCGGTCGAACCCAAGCACTGGGACGCAGCAGCACATCTGAATACCTTCATCTCCGTCGCTGGCTGCGAACTGTCGCCGCTTCCTCTCATGTCACCTGAACGTCCCTAAGCAGATGGTGACAGTGAGCACCTCCTTCTCCTGCAATTTTTAGGGGCCTTAAGCGCATCCCTGCCTGCTTCCTCGCTTACAGACGGTGATGGGAATCTGAATCTCTGCGAGCCAAACACTCGAGCTTCCTTTTCCTGCTGGAAGCCACATTAACCACAACCGGGTTGGGGTTCGGCTCTAATCGGCCGCTGATAATGTCCCGGTGACGCTCATAATAAACGACACGGATAACCCCAACGATAGGGAGCAGGCTGCCTGCAAATAAAAAATGTAAAAATCACCCCCACAGCACATGGTTCACCCTCTGGCTAAGTCAGAAACAACGCCTGACATTTCTCACTTTGACCCTCTTGTTACTTCTCCTGTCTCTCTCGTCCAGCTATGACTACCACAAGGCTGGAGATGCAAATCAGGGAGCCTAACATGCATCCATAAGATCCCGCCTGCAGATTCCCCGGGAGAAGCAGAGAACGGCGACCGCATCCAAGTGCGCATACGCATCCCCGCAGTTGGAGCCGGACATGGACTGCAGCCCCTCCCATCGCATCCAGAGACTGCGGGGGCACGGCCTAGAGGTGGGGACCCTTTGTCAGTGAGGAGGTGTCACCCCCCCAGCCATGGGCCTTTCGGGGGGGGCACCACCTGTCCCGGGCAGCCTCTTGGCCACAGCTGTGGGGGCGTCCGCCCTCCCGCGGGTCGCAGATTAAAAGCTGGCCACGGCGGCTGACGGATGGACCGCTGCTGGAGCGGCTGCACAGAAGGCCGCGGATGCAGCCCCCCGGCACGTTGCTTCCCCCGCGCCCCCCCACGCTGCCGCCTCGCTGACGTGCGGGGGTCCTGCTAGGAACACGGGCCGCTGCCAGAGAGCCATCACTATGTTTCCATATACGGGGAAGCGAGTCTGGGACCCCTAAGAGCTCCGCTATCGCACAGAGGAATACAGGCTCATGCGAGATTCATGCGAATTAAAAACGCAGCCATACGAACACATTAAAAATGAACTAAATTACTCAGACACTTTAAAATAAGTTGTTTGGAATTTGCATGTGCATAATTCAGCACTCTTCTAGAATATTTCATGGCATGAGGGCATATCGGAAATGAAACCACGGTAAAATTAAAAAACCACGAGGAGGCCGCGGTTATTTTGGAATCGGGTCCTGAAGGCAAGTCAGCGCATGCTGCCGCCGTCCACCTAATGGGCGGCATCTTTCAAATCCTATTTCAGACTAACAGATGTCAAAGTCTGACGGATCTTACGAAGAAAAAAAAAGAAAGAAAAAAAAAGGAGACGGTTTTAAAGGGCTTAAATTAAAATGTACCCATTTACTGAAAGGAAATATATATATATGTGTGCACATAAAAAAGATCAAACGAAACCAATGAATTTTACGGGGAAACAAATGTAAATAAAATTTGAGTTTAATAGCGCAATATAGAGCAGGCTGTAAAGTAAAAATAGCAGAATAACACAGTGCAGCTGTGTCAAAACACGAGTGGAACAGTGTAAATATAATTAGTACCAGCAGCCTAGTGTCAATTTCAATGTCAGTATAACTGCGGTCTTCATTAAGCTCAACAATAATATGAACACCTCCTGCTGTGGGGAATGTCACAGTGGTGTAAGACGGCGACCGAACCACGAATCTGCGTCTTTCTGACTTAAAGAGCCGCCGGTCAGGACTCACTGGCCACGGAGAAGTTGTTGAGAGGGTACGGAAGGTCAGCATCCTGCGGCTTCTCCTTGTATCCAATGAAGGACCCATCCGTTTTCAACAGGAAGTACCGAGGTCTCCAATTCTTAATGTATTCTCCTGTGGAGAGAGAGACAGACACGGAGAGAGACACTGAATCTGCAACCATGGAGCCGGAGGACAAAGGACAGGAGCGGGAAAAACGTCAGAGAGCTCAGGACCTGAAGGAGAACATTCCGGAAACGAAGGAGGCATCAAACAAATGGCCAGACTCAGGGAATAACTGGAATCTGAGGTAAATCACCTCAAATCTAAAGAGTGACAAGACCCTATCGCGTTAGCTATGATGCCAGCTCTGTCATGTTTGAACATAAAAATGTTTAAAATATTTATTTACCAACTGCTCTTCATTTTTAAAGGATCTTACTACTGTGAGATAAAAACGAAAAATGGATGCATAGCAGGAAAGGGTCAGATATGAATGATAAGGACAGCAAACTCACTTAACCCTTGCAGGCTGAAGTAGCACAAAACAACATCTGCTGAACAGCTGGTCGTGTCGAATTACCATAGGAAACTTCTGGTGCTCCAGACTGCACTATTAAATAATCAACGGCAGGATTACAGGGGTGTCGGGGGGTCGGGGGGTGGGGGGGGTAAGTCCCCGTGCACCCGCCCACCAGCGGCCCCCTCCCCCAAAACATGACAAGTCATTAAAGGGAGCGATGGCTTGCCGTTGGCTGGGCTGGGCGTGCGGCACGGCGCTACGCTGCTCGTAACGGCTCCTGGATAATTAAAAGCGTCCGTTATGATGATGGCACCGTCGTGAGACACCTCTGTGGGCCGCGGGGCCCTTCTCTTTATTATAAGGAAACGTTAGCCCCCCCTCTCAGGTGGCCCGGCGCTTCTCCGTTTACACGGCAGACAGCCTGCGGATGGGTGCTGCACTGGCACATACACACACACACACACACACACACACACACACACACACACACGTTTGTATTCAAATCTTCATGGGGACTTCCATTCATTTCTATGGTCATAACCCTAATCCAAACAATGACACCCTTAGCCCCACCCAGCCCTAACATTAACCATAAGTAACCAAACAAAAATTCAAGACTTTTGGCATTTTTAGTTTTTTGATTCCATTCACAGAGTTTTGCAAAGCCGAAAAAACGTTACCCACACGGTAAAGTTAACAGGTTTTTAATCACATTATGGGGACATTTGCCCCCCCACAATGTAACATATACATGACCACGTACCCACAAACAAACAGACAGACAGACAGACAGACAGACAGACAGACAGACAGACAGACAGAGGCACGCACACACACACGCACGCACACACACACACACACACACGTGGACATGCCACACAATGCTTCTTTTTAGCTAAGACGACACACACTCCACAAGGGATCGAATGGTGGCTCGGTGTCAAATGGTCCTGCTCAGGATCACCATGACACGGCCCCCCCGTGCGCAATAATAACCTTTACTTAAAAAAAATTAACCACAGCCTTTCTTATGACACAGACAAAAAGCGAAGAATTATGACCCACCTCTTAATACAAAATCATTCACCTTTTTAATTTAAACTCATCAGCTAAGAAATATCAAACAAGATTTAGTCTCTGAACTAGCTTTCAGGAAATCTTAATTTGCTGTAACATAAAGCAAAATTATAAAGGAAAAATACGTAAACCATATTCAAAAATACATACAGCAGAATAAAAGGGCTGTGCCAAGTGCAGTTTTATATAATTACATTTTCAGCCTCATCTCTGCTCTTCATGAACACGGCGTGACATAAAAGCTCTGTAACACTGACAGTGCCGGTGGGGCTCAGTATCCACATGAAACTAGCAGAACGGCAGAAATGACAGTAACTGCACACATCGGGATTTATTCCTGTGTGTCTCCATTTGACTGGACCTTCACTAAGCTGCAGCTGCCCTGAGCCCAGAACCACCTCGGTACCGGCGCGGCTGCCAGAAGCAAACGGTTAATACCGCCGAGAACGGCGGCTCTGACAGGGAGCAGCCGGTTCAAGGCCTTCGCTGACCTGGGATCGGGGGATCCGGGAGAACCTGTGGCAGGAATTTGCCGACTCCAGCCGGGAGGTGCGCGTGGGTACGAGCCGCGGCATCACGCCGCAGGTACTGACTAATGACGCGGCGCAGCGGGGGGGCCACCTGTCAGCCTGCGAGGTTAGCTTAGCGCGCCGCTTGGAAGTTACACGGGCACAGTCGACCGAACCCAGCCACCGTCCCAGCATGCCCTGGGGCTGACCAACTGTCATCCTAACAGCAGGCTTTGGTGGGGTGAGGCCTGTTCCAGCCGCTGTTCTTGATCTAAGCAGCACGAGGATGCTGTGCCTTTCCGACGGCAGACGGGAAACCAGATCTAAAGCCGTTACTGTCCTCATTTTGTCGGCCCTTCCGTTTATTTCTGATTCTCGCTAATATGACTTTGTCACCCATGTGACCAATATCGGGCGTCGGATCTTTGCCAGCATTCAACTTAATTGTGCTCGGAAGGACGGGTATCCGGATTCGTGAAAGCCCAGACATCGTCATCACAAATATGGACCATTTTTGGGAGTCTCTCCCTGTCCCGTACCACTCCAAATTGAGACCGACACTCTGGAATACGCCTCGATAAGCCCGAAATGATGACATCATGTTTATAATTCTTTATAATCGCCGTTCCTATACCCGTCGCTCGAGCCACCCTGACAGCTCTGATCCTTCTCATTTTTTTTTTTTTGGAATAGAAAATAAACAACATGTTCTATTTGTAACAGCCACTTAAAGCATAATGACACCAGCTTTTCTTAATTAACACATCAGAGAAAAACACCTGCTCATGTTAATTTGAGGAGACGGAGGTCTTTGCCGGTATGCCGATCCGTGGGTAGGAGGGTGCAGCTGAACCGAGGCTGCCGCCTTCAACACCGAGGAACAGAGGAAGGGAGAGAACGGTGAAGGGAAAAAAAAAATAGCGAGCAGAGGGACGAGGGCTGTCACCGGAGGAAGGCGAGCCATGCTCGCTGCTAATTGCTCAAATCTGAATCCCGTTAGGGGCAGAAGAAAGAATAAAAACGACGAAATCGTGACATCACGGCGATCCCATGGCGCGACACAGAAGGTCGGCATTATTTACCAACATTCGGCACGTTCCGCGGCACGCCGGCTTCCCACCAAAGCCGCGCCTTAAAACACTGCGGTGGAGACAGTGGGGTGCGGAAGTGGGTCTCCATCCAGGACAAGGGGGTCTGGGCGGGAAGGGGGATTAACTTCACCAACAGCGGAAGTCAGCTTCCGGTCTTGGGGGCCAGGGACGGACCCGCTGGGGAGGGACGGACCCCGTGGAAACACAGAATCAGTCTCTGCCTGCGTGCACCAGTAGAAAAGAAACAAAAAATGAAGAAACGAAGACACCAGGACGAGAAAAGTTTTGCGGTGGCCCTCGCAGTCGTGACGCGCAGAGGCCAAACAGCAGGAGCGATCTGGTGGGTCCCGCCGTGTGGCGACCCCCCTCCATTTGCGTGTGGGCGTAACATATCGGCGGGGACACGGCCTGGAGCTGGGAGCCAGCCGGCGGAGGGCGTCTGCCTGCTCGCTCGCACGGAGACACTGAACTTTCTTTGCCCGCCTCATTCCTGTTGCTAAACTCCTACCTCAGAAATCTCACTCTTCCCAAGAGTTACTATAGGACCCGCTCCTTACCCACAACACCCCATCTATGCAGACCTTCGGATTAGCGCAGAAGCGTAGCTGGGGCAGGAGAGTCGCTGTTCAGGCCCAACAGCCCAACAGCAAACTTTAACTGCTCTCTGGCCTCAAACAGCCGCACAGCCCGTCAGTCTGGGGAGTGAATCCTCTTTCCGATCTTCTTTCTCATTTTGAGAGGGGAAAAAAAATGAAGCCATTTGTTAATCAGCCCAAACAAGGATTTAATGTAATGCTTTGGCTGTTGCTGGGCGGATCTGCAGATGGCTCGTGGATGGGCCTGTGACGGCACCAGGGGGGCACGAGCTGCCCGCGTTCCAGCACACGGGCCGCTTGGGGGGGGTGGGGGGGGGGGGCCAGCCGGAGAGCGCCGCCTGTGTGTCCGAGCCCAGCCTGGCCCGGATCGAGGGAGCGATCTGGCTGTTCCGGATGGGGTTGGGGGGGGGGGAGCCGGTACCTCGTGTTCCGTGGCAGCCTGCGGAAAGCTGAAGCGGCTGGATCCGCCATGCCGGCCTGGCACCAGGGGCGGTGCGCGCGTGGGCGCCCTCCGACAGCTGAGGCAGCTCCTCAGAATACCGCCGTGCCGGCCGCTCCCCGCGCGCCGGATCATCCGGCCTGGTGTGCCACCGTCCCTGGGCCAACTGGGGAATGCATGACACGCCAGGCGCTGTGCCCCAGTATTGCTTTCCCACTCCCAGAATCGCCCCTACCAGACCAATCCCTGCAATGGGTGAAGCCCCAGGGCAATGAGAAGACTGGACAGAGATTTTGTGGGTCACTAAGCTCAAGCTTAACATAATAAGTAATAATAAGCCTTTGAGAAGTTGCCACACTCCAACCTGTAGGGGGTGCTCTACCTCAGATAAGCCTGTCCCCGTACACGAGCCTTAACAGGGACAAGTGAGCAACCAGAAAGCGGAGCCACAACTTAACCCTTAAACAAAGCACCGCGTTGTAAGGGCCCCTCCGGTGCCCCCCCCCCTCAGTTACAGGGGCCAGCTTGAGCCAAACAACTTACACTGGATTAGTGTCATCAGCCTCATTAACGGCATCAGGGCAAAATCACAAAGGGTCGCTGCCTTCTAGCTTGGGGATGAGAGCCGGGAGGCCGAGACACGCACCCTGACATGAAAAGAACCCCCCCCCCCACGAAAACCTCGAAGAGCCAGGGTGAAAAAGGCAACAGAAGCTCCAGGTGCCTGATGGGAGTCATTTCCGCCATCGTCCAGCTGTTACACAGTGTGCGCTGATGGGACACTCTCTCACGCACACACAAACACACACACACACACACACACACACACACACAAACCCTGACAGCACTGCCCCTCCACGTTACAGCACAAATGCGGACGGACCCCCGCCATACTGCAAC